CACAAGCACATTTCTCTAGGTGCTTTCTAGATAACATTCACACACATTCATACTCCGATGGATGCATCGGAGAGCAATTTGGGGTTAGTATCTTGCCCAAGGATATTTGGCATGCAGACTAGGGGAAGCCAGGAATCGAACCACCAACCTTCCGATCAGTAGATGACCTGCTCTACCACCTGAGCTACAGCCACTCACTATCCGACATACAGGAAATCAAACTGTTTAGGCTGCTAGAGCACTTACATGCTCATCTGCAAGCTGCTTTACAACCCAGCTCCAGCTTTCACATTGAGAATCTCATATCTGTCACTGACGCCAAGTTCTGTGCTGAGGACTTGCTGCTTCTGTCTCCTCTTTGCATGTATACACGTGAAAGGGCTTTGATTTCCCAGAACATGCCACCAAATATAAATGACTGCAAATCAAAATATCAATCTTCCACTTGAGTATAGATCTGACTTAATTATGATTGTGGTGGTAAGTCAAACTTCCCAACCAGGGATTATTACGGACAAGCCAGGGTAACCACAGCTTTCTTCAAAGTGCACTTAATAGAGGTGTTAAAGAGCTTAATCTGATTTACTTCATTAATTTAACTGAATGCCTTCATATGACTGTGGCATCCATACCACAACACAACACAAGGGTAAAGGAGATTTAATAAGACTAACAGCAATTTGGTGGATCATCAGCAGAGATGCATTTCAGGGTGAATCACTATAGCATTTACTTTTGCACATTTTAGCCTCCATAACCCACTGAAGCTACAATATTATAATAAAAATATGTAAAAATACAAATTAATATTTGAGCTGTTAAATATCCAAAAGCAAAATCTGAGTAACTATTTTTCTGATATGGTTTCTCTGTTTATTTTTGTAAACAAATGGGGGGAAAAGTGCCAAAAACTACTGATGTGACTGAGTTGCAAAATGGTTTGAGGTTACACTTTTTGTTTGTTGCATACGTGAATGCAACAAACAAAGTTAAATATGAAAGCGCAAATACTTTTGTCACATATCTGACACTTCCTCCCAAACAGCCAACTGATAATGCACCACAGATATTTACTTTATCTCCTACCAAACTTTACTCTGTGGAGAACTACAGTTTTCTCTCCTCTATGTTTCACCATAAGTTGCTGCTAATGACCAAAAGAGATGAAGATGAAGATAAATTTGAATGATTCTCAGCATTCCCTGATAGTGTTAGCCAGCTAACGCAGATAACGTCAACAGGAGTTTGTAGATTTTGTTTGAAGGAGGAAGAATAAAGACAAACAAGTTTCTAAGAAGCATGACACTAGAAATAGCTCCCATACTTCAAGATAAAGTCATCTGCCAGCTGAGCAAAGCAAAAATGAATCATATACATCTCTACTCTTAGATGTAATAACAGTAATATTATAAACTGTTCAGTGTATAAGGAGATCTATAGATGCGCCTTATGTAGAACAAACACACAAAAGTTTGGACCAAAAATATCAGATTTGCATTGAATCAGTGAATCTCAGGTACACAAGTACAGATACTGAATTTCCTCTCAAAGCATTGAGATGAGTGCAGAATAGTCACACATTAAAACACATTTATACAAAATGCTTTCACTCGTTCACAAATGGTAAAACAACATTTATGAGCTTATTTTCACTGTTTTTTCCATATTTATAAACTATTTTTGAAATACTGTTAAAATATCGTGTACTGTATGTACTGATCATCAGTATAATAGGATTTTTTTTAATGCAAATCAAAAATGTTCTATATGAAATATACAAAAACATACACGTATAATGAATTATTCTATTACAGTATATTCTTCTCAGTTTAAAACAATAGCTCTTAGCTAATGTGATTATGTGACCTAAATGGTTTTCAAATCGTTTTCTCTCATGTGATCTTTAGTTATTGTGTCTACAAAAAGCTTTTAACAATGCAGAGTGACCTATTTTATCATGTATTTTTATCATATTGCTTTCCTATCATGTACTTGGACACCACCATTGCACCGTTACAGTATCAGACTTCTCCCTAATCTATCATGATTTACCCCTGTACAAATAGCACATGGTTTCTTGGTTTACCTCGTGTTCGCTGGAAATACATTTGGCCAGAGCTGGAGCATGTTCTACGTAACCAGAGCAGGTGTAGGCCCTCCGTCTCCTCCTTCGGTGTGCTTGAGAGCCCCATATAATCTTGGCAAAGGTTTCCTCACTTCCAGGTCTGTCATTACCCCTCAGTGTCCGTAGCGTGTGCTCCACTGCTCCAAAGCTAACCGCCCTCCTTAACTGGCGTTGTAGAAGCTTCTTTACAAGCAAACCCTCCTTAGCCGGGACACCTTTGGAAGTAGTGCTGACACCATGGAGCTTCTCTTCCACAGAGGACCTCCTTCTGTCACCATCTGCCTGGTTTGTAGAAAACTTTTCCAACCTGCACGTTAACCTTGTGGCAAGAGGTTGAGTCTGACCATCCCGAAGGATCAGAACTGGTATTTCTCCAACATAAACACCTTTGCTGATGCTGTCTTGCCTAGATAGAGGTTTGGCCACTCCTGATGGCTCATCCAGCTCGGTTTGGTTTTCTCCCGTGTTGCCATCTGGGTCATTTTTACACTCTCCACCACTGCAGATTCCTTTGGTTGTAACAAAAGTCTCACTTTCAGGACTTCTGAGAGATCCAGCAGGCTTTAAGTCTTCCGATTTCCTCTTTTTCCTCTGAAAATAGCGGCGACCTTTAAGATCTTTGGATTCAGGTCTCAAAGGAGCCTTTTTGGGGTCCAAATAATATTCCTCTTTCGGACCCCGAACACAACCACAGGTGTTTCCCATGGCTGTAAATCATATGGTGTCCTAAACATCCACAATGTTAAGCTCCAAACAGCGACCGGTCTTCAGGCGAAGTATCCAGTAAGCTCTACTCAATCTAAAAAAGCAGGATCCCATCGACATGAAGCCATTGACAGCTTTGCAAGTAGAGCACCGTAAGCAGTGCTTAGCAGGGCAGCCAGACATAAAGCTGGCTCCACTCAGAGCAGAGCTGCCTTCGTCCTTTTGTTGACTGCGGAGAACCGGTCAGCCCCTCTCTCTCTCTCTCTCTCTCTCACTCCGCATTTCTCACTTGCTCTCTCATGCGTCTCTCCTCTGACACTGGAATCTTTTTTGACCTTTGAAACATTTCTCTGGCTTTGATAATCCAGCACAAACACCATAAATGCACACACAGACGTGTGCTGGTAGCCCTCAGAGCAGGAATGAAAAAGAGTTGTGGATAGACCTGTTTCAGGATGACAAGTCTGTTGCAACAAAACAGTAAACACGCATATGATAGCCGCCTCTTTCCTGTCCTAATATTTATGTAATGCCATAATGTTTCTTTGGGTAAGAGGAGAAGGATCTCAAACTGAAAGTGCATGCCAGTAGAAAACCACGAGCTATGCTGCTTGAGAATTTGGTTCAACAAGTTTACAGTTCCGTTTAATGCGACAAGTCAGAACGGCTTTGAAAAACAGCAACATATATAGGCCAAAAAGAGTAGAACAAGCTCAGGCAGATCCGAGCCGGACAACATAGTGCTTTCACTTTGTCTATCGCTCAAACTCTGCACAATGGCTGAGCCAGAGGTTGGGCTTAAGTCCAATGGTTTAACCAAACAATATGATCTCAGCTGATCACCATGGCAGCAGTTCACATGGGGGCAAATGCTGTGCCCGAGAAATGATTCACGGCATAAAACTCTTCTAGCAAATCAAAGAATTATATAACACTGGATACTTAAAACACTGTCTGAGAAAGAGCGGGACAAACGCACTGCAGAAAAAATGAGGGAAAAAAGTGAATAATAAGTGTGTTAAAGTGTAACTATAATGCCACCACACAGGAAAGCTTAAAATAGCTTTGAGTGTAACATTTAAACGAGTCCCTGAAGGTCAAAGTCACCTGACAGCCAGCACAGTCCAAACTGCCGATCACTCCTGCTTCTTCTCACGTTCACCTCATGAGACAACTACGTTGGCCAAGCTGCAGTATTAGCCTATGTTCATACATCTGACAGTAAACATGCTAATATCTTCAAAAGAGGGTGTTAGCATGTGGCTTTTTGTTAATGGTAAGCTCTATAGTGAATGAAATAAAACATGAATGAATCACTCATCAATGTGTGTGTGCGTGTGTGTGTGTGTGTGTGTGTGTGTGTGTGTGTGTGTGTGTTAGGTAAATGACAGCACACATGGAAAGAGTGATACTTCATTAGGGTAAAACAAACGGGTTCAGTCAGCAGCAGCAGTGCTTTGTCATGCCAGCGGCATCTAGCCCTCCACACTAAAATTAATATTGTACTAGTTAGCCATGTCACAGGTAAAAAAAAATAAAGATAAATATAGTGTGCACCATTTTGAGAATAGGAATATTGTCTGCTTTGTGTAGCAAGGAAACCTCTTGCACACACAGGAATAAACAATGAATAGCGACATAACGAGTTAACTGAAGTCAAATATTTGCATAAGTCATAATAAAGTAGCCTGCAGGTATAAGAAAAGCATGTCATGGAAACAACCATTTGTTTTCATGCAATATAAAAGTAGTGTTGAGTTCATACATGCCAGTGTGCTATCAGCTGTGACATTTAATAAAAACCAAAGCTGTACACTTTCAGTAAAGCTCAAGTTCTCTCCTGAAGTACCCTTGCATCCTTTTTAAATCAAGAAGAAACAGGCCCCTCGCTGCCACATCGACAGCTTAAGGGCTTGCGTGAGACCGACAGCAGCAGGTGTTGGCATCCTCGCAGACGCTACCTGTCAGCATGTCCAAGCAAAATTATATCAGCTACTTTTCCTCCATTAATTCACTCAAGGCTAGTCAGACAGATGTTTGTTCTATTAACGCTATACGCCTGTAAGACACAGAATTATTTTTGCAATATTTTTCTTCTGACTCACAACTGCCACGTGCCAAAAGCACAATTAATCTAACAAAAGAAATTGAGATGGGTGAAGTTTCTGCATGCTGTTAGACTTCAGAAGAAGACTACATACTGGGTGAACACTCACATTCTTCTGGCACGCACATGCAGACTAGCTCGCTTGGCATAATGTGCCACCGTTCAGTGAAAGAATATTTGTGAGAGCGTTCAGGAGGTAATATAACCAACTCTAGAGCACACGATACCCCAAAGCTTTTTTTTGTTAATGCACATTAATGCTTAGTCGTACCAATGCGTGCACAAACATTCCCGAGATACTGAGAACATTAAAAACAATTATCTTTTTCAGTAATTTCCCTCTTGTTTAGACATTTAATATTCCTTAAAGGCCCTTTAGGCTGCTAGGAGCTATCTGATGTTACAACTGGATATGAATTAAACATGAACTAAAGTAAATTGTCAAGAAAGACAGAAAAAAGCCCAGAGAGATGAATGTTGATGATGGGCTTGATTGAGGGTATGGCACTTGGCAAACCAGCTTCAGAAGGGGTAAGAACTCATTCTTATCAAATTTTATTTTTTTTTACTATGCTTAGAATATTAACAAACTTAATTACAAATGAATCAACTGTGTCTGTAAGAACTTGTCACATCATCTCTGTGCTCATAAACAGCTTTGTGTCTAAGCAAAGCCAAGCTGTGACGAAGCACTTCACACAAGTGCACAGACCAGATGATGACACTCACGCAGGGGTGAAGTAACACCGTCAACACATCATCAGAGGTGATGATAGTGATTCTAAATTACACAATTGATATTGAATACTACTGGAGGGGCTATAATAGAAGCAGTAGAATTATGCTGCTGATACTTCCCAGTGCAACAACAAACACAGGAAACACACTGAATAATATCAGAAGCTACAACAGAGGTGTTCCTGTCACGGCCTGGGTCTGTGGCCCAGCATTTTGAGTTCATGATATATTGTGTCATGTTTCTGGTTGATGCTGTCATGCCTGTCTTGTCATGTTTTTCTGTTTATTTTGAAAGTCCAGTTTTCATGTCATTGTGTTTGAGTTTACATTTCCTGTGCATCGTTATGTTCATCCTTGTCAGCTGTTTCCTCATGTGTCGCGACTTCCCCTGATCACCTCATGTGTGTATTTAAGTCCTCTGTTTTTGTCTGTTTGCATCCCCATAGTGTTTCGTCATAGTTTGCTCAGTGTTCATAGTTTGTCATAGCATTTTCACTGAGTTTCTTAGTCCTTTAGTTTTGTGAGTGTTCACAGTTTTCCTAGCTCCATGCTTTTTCATGTGCCAACATCCAAATAAAGGATCGTCTTCTGTTCAGCCAGCAACTCCGCCTTTCAGTGTCTGCTTCTGGGTCCTGTAAACTAAACTTATCGGCGCACCCCGCCATCACAGTTCCCTTCAGAAGGGAGGCGTTACAGGTGCTCATGTTGGAGGGGAGATGTATTATATGGATATCTATATCTACAAGAATTATCTATATCATTTGTAAATATAGCTGCTACTGCCAACAGGGTGACGAAGGAAGCCAACCAATCTACTGCTGGTCAGCACCCACTAAGAGCTAACTAAAGCTACTAATCTGGACTAGTGCAAATATACAAGCCTTTTTTTGCATGTGGAGTCAGCCTCTGCAAAGAAAGACATCTCTGCTTGACAAATGAAGCAGTGAAGTATAGCAAGCATGTCCCATCACAGTGGCATCATGGGTGTCGTCTTGATGATCGTGGTGAGATGATGATCTTGGAAAGAAGGGTTATTTGCAAGTGGTGGTCTGTTGCGGTGGCTGGCCCAGGACTGTGGCTGGGGGGAACCTACTGCCCAGTGAACATCAAGAAGTTAGAAAGGTGCTTGGGTCACCCTTTGGCTACAGCAATTCATCTACCAAATGTGACAGTGATGAACTTCCAGTGTATATGCACAACAGGATGATTTTCCAGGGCCTGAGAGGGGACACAGTTTCTCTTTGGTGCATCCCAACAGTGGAAGACGGGCCTTGTGATGGCAGATGCTTTCATCGCAGTGGATATGACCACCATGAAATCCAGAAAGGGGTTTCAAGAAACTTAAAAGGCATCAAGAAAAAATGGCTAAAGTAATGAATATATATGAAATCAATAAGCGGTTATTTTTCTTCTAACATGTAAACATTTTTGGATATTTTTGTAGTGTCCTCAAGTATGTTCCTCAGGAATCATAATAAGGCTGATGTTTATATCAAGCAAACAGCCTTCCAACATACCCACACACACCTACAGTCTCAACTTTACATGGCTTTAATTCATGTACAGGATGCTGTGTTTTTACATCAGACTAGACAGATAAATCATTCAAAGCATCAGGCTTTTCTAAATGTTCATGCTGCTTTTCCCACACGTTTGCATGAAACAGCGAATGTAGTTTGTTACTTTCTTACAACAACAGTTACGAAGTGTTTACTTAGGTCAGTATGACCTAACTAAACACTGTCGCTAAGTTACTTATCAAAACTAACCACAGTAACAAGGACCTATGTCACCACAAACTGTTGCGCCTTTTTATACATCAGAATAAGACAGTCCAAGGTTAGATGAAGTAGTGTGTTATTTGTGTTATTTATGTAATTTGTGTTACTGCATTTATAACTCTTGAAAACATTTTAAGCTGTTAGCTTCTGCAGGCATTAAAATACACATTTTCTTCGTCTTCTGTACCAGTAACACCTCTTCAGTAATATGAAAGTACAGACTGGGTGTCTGTAGGTTCTGACCCGTTGTCTCTACACTTTACTTTTTAAAGAGATCTGTCAGTTTTTTTAGCGGTATGGCTTTGGCCAGTAGGGGTGCTTATGAAAATGTAGCAGTCTCCTTCACTTTAGCCTTTAGAAAATTCATTAAAATCTTGTACTGTTGGGCAATCCAGCAAGTTAATCATACAAATTTAATAGGAAAGCTAAACTGGACCCCTATGGTGCTATAGTGCTATGGCAACACTGAAAACATGAATAATGTGCTTCACTAAACTCAGCATAACAAATGCTGCAAAACTTTGACACCTTGTGGTTAAAAACAGAAACACCCAAGTAATGTCGTTAACTAATTTTAAAACATCTGACCTCATTTAGCCCAACACAAGACATCCAAAAGCAGAGGGTGCAAAGATCTTAATTACTTGGCAATTAAAAGCATGAGGGTGACAAAATAACTGGAGTGCAAGACTGACCTGAAAGTGCAGAATTATGGTCCAGATCAATCCCAGCGTCAGTTTTGGGTTGCCGTCTGTGATGTCATCATTTCTTATATTTACAAGTTTGACCTGGTAGAAGGAAATGCAAATTTAGCACATGCAGACTGTCTTTAAGTAGTCATAGCCTGCTTCTTCTTTTTTTATATATATATATTCACCTTTAAGCACTAACAATGAGTTTTCCTCTTCCATATTATGCCTGTCATTCCACAACCACCACAAGAGGGCACAGTCGCCATTGTATTATGCTAGGGAAGCTCGTTACCATAATCACAGTGTGGCACTGAGGGGAACTCGTTAATGTTTTGTAGTAATTAAACGTTTTATAACATAATATATGAAAAAAGTGCACTTTTTAAACACCCCCTTCAAATAAAGCAGGAAACTACTAAAAAACTAAAATAGTCTGACCACAGTTAGATATTATAGCATTTAATAACGAACTCCTCCACTGCCCACAGATCATCTGTAACAGCTGTAATCAATCAAAGTTCAGTTTGGACAGTTTACATGCTATGACTACAGAAGTTGCATCATGTGTCTGGTATGTACTGAAGCAAAACAATAGGACAACTCATTTGTTGCAATCTATGAATCCTTTGTCTCGAGCCTTACGTCACATCTGGCTGTGGCTCAACCAGGCTGCCTTCGTCTTCTCATCCTGAGCATGGTGGGGGAGGGGGATGCAATCAAAGCTCTCTGAAATCCCACTGATGGGATTTGCAGTCAGCGCTCCTTAAATGCTGCTATTACTGTTCATGTTTCATGAATTTTTTGTAAGGAAACAGAAAAATGCCATGAATCCAGCTGTATCTGATGGTGGCAGTGTCTGAGAACCTGCTTGAACCCAGATATCAGCTTTTTTTTGCTGTATAAACAAACAGATAGCTACCCCTAAACATGAACTGATATATTTGTGTAAACCATTTGTAAGCCTTTATGTGTACTTAAATCCATAGGTTCTTGAGGGCATGAGACAATTAATTAATGTTGCCTCTGTACACCAACACAACAATTTTACTGCACATTAATCAAATTATAATCAAACAACAATGTAACTGAAATGCAGACATTCAGATGTAATTCAAGGGGTTTAACAAAGTGTTGCAAGGGCTGTTTTTAGTAGCTGAATGAAAATCCTTTGTAGTCAATGACTGTCTGAAGTCTAAAACCCATAGATGTCACCAAAGGCTGTTTCCTCCTATGAGGTACTCTGCTAGGCCATTACTGCAGCAACATTCAGCTGCTGCTTCCTTGTGGGTCTCACATCTGAAAATTATGCTCTCTTGGGGTGAGATCAGGTGACTCATTTGTCATTAAAGAATATGCCATTTCTTTTTCCTTGAGAGAGCCCGGTTTGGTTTGGTAGTATGCTTTGGGTCATTAACCATTTGTACTGTGAAGCTCTGTCTGTCAGTTTTGTAGCATTTGTCTGAATCTGAGCAGAAAGTACATTTCTGTACACAGTTCCTCCTACTACATCTATCAGCAGTCACATCATCAATAAACACTAGTGACCCAGTTCCAGTGGCAGTCATAAACTCCCATCCAATGATATATTCTATATCATGTTTGAAGATGAGGTGAAATGCTCCAAGGCCATTTCTCTCCTTCTCCATACTTTTCTCTTCCCATCACACTGGTAAAAATTAATCTTGGTTTCACTTGTGGCTCTGGCTGTTTCTAATCTGCCCTTCTTGTTTCTTGAGAGCACCCAGTGGCTTCCACTTTGTTGCAAACCCACTGTATTTCTATTTATGAAAGGGTCTCTTGAATGCAAAATCTGGTAATGATACACCTACCTCCTCAAGAATGTGGGCTCGACATGGTTAGATATAAAGAAGCTGATTTTCATGAACAAATAAAGATTTGTGTTATATTCTACTTTTGTTGTCTTCTGTGCAGACCTTTTGTTGGTTCTGAGCAGGTCAGTCCATTCCTTTCTAAGAAGGTACCAGATTATTGACTTGGCCACTCCTAAAATCTTAGATATCTCTCTAGTAGGCTCATTTTGGGTTTTCAGCCAAATGACGGCCTCCACGGACCTCATATTGAGATTTAGAGTGAACAGCTGCAAAGCTCCAGCTCAAAATCTGGAATTAATGCCAGATGCTTTATCTGGAATAATGAGAGCACAGATCTAAACACTAAACAATTAATTTTGAGCCTCTGAAAATGGGGGGTTGTCCATAAAAACTGCTTTCCTAAACAGTTAATGCAGTACTTTTGTAATACCCCCTGAATTGAAGCTGAAAGCCTGCATGCATTTATATCGGATATTAACTGTTTTATTTAAAATTCACTGTGGTGGAATACAGAGGTCAAATGACCAAAATAAAAGTGTAATTGGCCAAAAACATGTAGATCTAACTCTAATTCATTACCAAATCCAAGTATAAAAATTACAGCTACTTTTTATGGAAACTTTCAGCTGTTTTTTCAGCTTTGTATGCAAGCTGATTTCCAATAGTCAAGCTGATGGTGTATAATTTAAAAAGTGTGTGGCAATATTGGTGAAATTACTCCAGTCACTATTCCTTACCTGCCGCCTCTTTAAATAGTCCAGCGCTATCTGTACATTCTGGAGTCTGTGGAAGCGCATCCTCCCTCTTTCCCGAGGCTGTGGACATAAAAAGGGAAAGGGAGCCATGTGTGCAAATCAGGATCTTCTCAATGTTAAAGGACACATTTTAAAACAATACAAATGACATGGAGGAAACAGGACATGCGTCTAAAGTTCTTACCCACTATTCTGGTAAGATGACATAAAAGAGCAAACACACAAAAGCTCTTTGCACAACAACAGTGGCCATCTCCCTAAAGAAGATATGCTACATATCACGTACCGTCTTAGAACATTTTCCACCATTACCACCTGAACGTGTCATAACAAATCACGCTTCCTTAGCTATGACCTGAATAAATCAATATTATTCACACGTCTGACTTCAAATCATCGCAGAAAGTTGCATAATATGATCTCTTGCGGCAGATGCTTGTGAATAGTCAGGGGCCACTGAATGAGGTCATGAAATGGAAAATGCATTCAAGCCAGGATGCAGCAGCAGCTAAAGACTTGCACTGCATTCAGCTACCTTGTTTTGCTTAGTAACGATGAAATGACACCATAAATATAAACCCCATTTGGGTAGTGAATGGTACTCAGTTCCCCTTTTGAAGCCTTCTTCTCAAAAGCAGCATATGAAAAATGTCCAGATCATCACGCAAGACTGAAGAGTTTTGACTGTATGACTAATGATGTGCAAAGCTAGTGAAATGAGTATAAAGACCCAAGCTTTATGGACAGCTTCTGTCATATTTTATTGAATCTTTTTAATGATTTTGCAAGATCAGTGAGCCAAATCGCTCTGTCTTTTTTTAACAGGAACAAAAAATGAAAATGAAAAAGCCTGGGTCTTTGGATCAAGGACACATTTTTCTGTGCCATCAGTATCACATTATGAACAAAATTGTATAACGTGCTCATGAAAAAAGGCGACTATGAAACAAAGTGCTTCATAGAAGGAAAAATAAAATGGCCAAATTGTAAAATTCGTCCCTGCTAAAGCAAGTATTTTAGACTACAGTAAGCACAAATCCTATAGTGGGATTGTGTCTGTGCTTTTGTTAACTGGTCACAGCACGCCCTGAATTAGTTTGTTACTAAAGGGGGTGGGAGGGCAAGCCACACGTACCCCCTTATCATCATCCACCGTGTCTCCATGCTGCTCAACTGCGCATGCGTCTGTCCCACTCACCAACCGCAAAGTCTTCAGAAAATCACGCTCCCTTGGCTTATCATCGAAAAGGCAACACATGGGGAAGAAGAGGAAGACATGGACACACACAGCGGCCAAATCATAAGGAAGTTAGACAGTGGACAGAAACAAGTCAAAGAGTGGAGAACAGAGGAGGAGGAAAGTGGGATGTAAACAGAAAACAGATATGCAGGAGGATGAAAGTTAGTCATACTAACGGGGAATAACTGCTGGGATTCCTTGCATGGGACTACATGCAGTCTAAATATACAGAGTAGCAACATATTAACACTGACATGTACTACAGTATGCACAAAAAATATCTGAACGTACTTCAGGTAAATAAAGGAATAACAGGTTAACAGATGAATGAAATACTTCAATACTGAAAACATGCAGTACTTCAGGAGCAAAGCATTGCAGCTACATAGTTTTTACCTTCAGTTTTGTTTAAGTATACATTTTCACAGTACGACTACTCGATACTGCAGATTAACATATTTTAAAATGCTGGTCAGCAACACAAATTAAAAAAAAATGTGACTGGTGATGTTGGGAAAAAAATCTATCTCAGTTTCACTTCCTGGTCATTTCAGGTTTTGCATGACAGAAAGTGGCTTTAGCAAAGTGTTGCTATTGACTGTAAAATTACTTTAAGCAACTTGCAAAAGGATGCCAAAAGCTTCTGTTATTTTTGTCCTCTGCCAATTGGATTAATGGGAGATGACATGACTTTTTAGCCACAGACCTACAGTAGCATCTGTCTCTTATGGGAGAGTTAAGTGTTCAAGAGACTTCAGTAACTAGAAGAAATCCCAACGCTTTGACTTTAACTGTTTATATTTTTTCAATGCAATTCTGCCCACTTAAAAAGATTTGACATCGTATATATAAAGTCAAATATAAAATATGAAATTTAATGCATATTGTCAAATTAAATCGACGTGTTTAGCATACATCAGTTTAAACCAAGTGTATTATCTTTAATAATTAATTGTTTTCATAAATGAACCTTCAATTTTATTTATTTCACATGCATTTTACTCTAAATTATTGCTTCGTGCTCATGAGGGTAGAGACTGTTTTTTAGTTGTTTTGAGTGAAGCACGGAAAGTAAAGTGATTATTCCTCTGAGCTGTGATGCAACTTTTTATATCACCTGTTTTAAAAGCAGCCTCAGGAGTTAGAGGGCGAAAAAGCTTGTTAGCAAGTTTGTTAAGTGCTCCAATTAATGTGTCAGACACCACAGTGGGCAACCACAGAGCTAATTTAGAGTTTACATTTCTGAATGACAGACAAAATTCCTTCACTACTTAAATGTTATATCAAATCCCACATGAGCTTGGCACAACTTGAGAAGTAATACTGCTACTACTGCTACCACTACTACTATCACAAATAAACAAGTAACAAAATGTGAATGTAAAAAACAAAAGACATACTCTACTGCTCACATTTAGCTTAGACTGAGTAGAACAGCTCAATAAATTAAAAGAATGACCACATGAGGAAGTTGCATTGATGTCACAGAGAAGACAGAGAGGAAATTTCATTAAAAGTGGGATTTTGATGAATGGGTTTTGGTGAATACGAAAAGTGATCGGATGGTTTTCTCCCAAGAATCCCTCCCTCCCACCATAAGCCATGTGAGTAAGAAGAGGGAAGGGCCAGTGCATCAGTTATGAGAAGGTATGACATAGTGCCCCATGGGAAAAAGAACAGTTCTCGCACTCTGTTTATTAAAGTCAAATGAGAATCTGAATGGGTTTGTAAGACTGGTCTCATAGGAAACTCCTCAGGCTAAGAATTCAACTGGATCCACAAGTACCAAAACACTGTCAGTGTTTATGACTAGAGTAACAGAAAAACATGAACTCACCAGTGTATCTCCAGACAAAACCTCCAACAGCGAGATCAGGTTATGTCCATCTCGTAAGTCTTCATAAAGATCATTTATATGCTTTCGTACCTACACAAACAGGGAAAAAACAACACTGTAAACTAACTGCATGCATCATGTAGTTTTAAAAACATTTTAAGAACAGATCTCACAAACAATGAAGGTCTATCACATTCATAAAGTTGGCATGGCAGTCATTGTTTTTGTTGATGCTTCCATGTGTCAATCACTTAAATTGGTTTCATTTAAGGTCTAATTTTGGGAAAACTTGTTTTAGATCAAATTCTTAAAACACGCTGAATCTGTTGAGTTGTAGCAGGATATCACTGTGACACCTGCGAAAGGCACTTTGCAAATCCAGTTTGATGCTTCCTCCTTACAGCAGGCCAATTTCTCCTTCCTGCCCTAAATACCGCACCTCTGAAATCACCCTGTTGCCTGATGACCTGCTTTCACACAGGGCTTCCAGCACTGTAATCGCAGATAGTGGCCACAGCTGTAAAGCCAAAATAGTCCTGTACCCTTATGTTACTGGATCAGCAAAGAAGGTCCCCGACTATTATTTAGCACCTCTGAATTCTCCTGGACCACGTCTGAGGCCTGCTCACACAGACATTACAATAACCTAAAGTGGCCCGAAATCTGTCGGTGGATCAGAGAATACAATGTAAATATTACAGTAAAACCATTAAGTCAAGTTGAAACAACTAGGGGTAAAACGTTTCTGATGGTATTACTATCTATAGATTTATTGATGTGTCATGCTTTACTGTAGTACAGACAGAAGACATTATTTCCTTATTTCTTCTGCCAAGATTGTGGTAAAGTTTACATGGTGTGTTGGTGCAAGCTGTAGCAAGCATTTCCTCAAGGTAGGAACTAGTAGATTCTTCTTGTTCACCCTTTTATTTTTTTTTTACTATTGAAAATAATAAAACATTTCTGCTTAACCTCACATGCAACCAACCATCCATAAGTCATAACCAGTCACTGATAACAGGAGGCCCATAGAGGACTGATTGAAATCAGTTCTTTATTCCAAGTTTATCCTCGTATTTGCTGATAATTGCATGAAAAGCACAAAATACACTTAAGCGGTCATGTATAGACTAACCAGACACTTTAATAGGTACACCTGTTCAAGTGATGGTTTCTCAAATATCTAGCCAATCACATGGCAGAAACTTAATGAATTTAGGCATATAGGTGCATTTCAGTGCAAGCCTTCCTTCTAAGACCAGAAATATTACATCCTATACATACATCTTAATAGCAATCAGATGCATGCATGTCTATATATATATAATATAAAGTCAAAATGCTTTTTTATATTTTGCTTTGTTCATTGAATTTATTTTTGCATGACACCACATTTGACTACGAATGGATTAAAAACGCTCCTCATTCGGGAAGCTAATGCAAAGAGTTGCAAACTGATTAAGTGGCTGCACAAAACAAAGCCGGACATTTATTTTTGCTTCAAAATGTTTGTTGTATTGGCATTTATTCAGTTTTAATACCACAGACAGATAAAGACGTCCTACTCACAGGAGCATAGGATTAAGAACTAATCAGAACTAATGAGCAGCTCACTTTTTTCTCTGCTTCAATGTTTTCTTTTCTTTTTAGGGACTTTATTTAAACTGAAGCGAATGAAAAAAATGTAACTGAACTACATATTTATATCTCGCATTACATACTGGACATAATTAAGACTTTGGTGATTAATGGACCACTTATGCAAGAACCTCATAAAGACAACACTGTAAATTGCGCCCAGATTCTTTTATTACAAAGACATAATAGACGAGACGTGCTTGTCCGTCTGTCTGCTAAAGTGTTTCATTAAATCCACACAGATTAAAATGCCACAGTAAGCATTTCAAATTCCTGAGTCAACAAAAGGCAATCATTTGCTGCAATGGTGCAGCAGAGCATGTCCTTCTAAATGACTTTTAATAAGCTTTAATAACATCTGAGGAGAAATGTTAACGTGTTAAAACCTAACAGGGAAAGTCATATTACTTAGCCAATAAATAATGAAGAACATGAAAATGGTTTTTCAAGCTGCTGTGGAGAAAAAATGTTGGAACACTAACAAGCATTCAGACTGAATCTATAAACGCCATGGACACAGAAATCGGGATATTAAAAAATAATTTAGAAGTTCGAAAGAAGCACTTATAAATCAGAAATGATTCTTACCTTCACCAGATGCTGGTTTATCCATTTTGTAAACGTCTTCTTTTGCACTCTGTCTCTTTCATCTGCAGAGAAAAAACACTTTCTTTAGATTTGGTGTTTTGGCAACATACACCCCTTTTTGTAAATGCCACCACTAAAGAAGCTTAATCTTGCTGTGTATACCTATTCTACATAACCTCTTGGGATGCTTTGTGTTTAAAGTAGCAACAGGACACTAACAAGTGCTGTATAGATTACATTATGCAAAGTGTGAAATAAAATCTTCCCTAATGTATGCATGAAGGTAAAGGTGGTTGTTTTTCCCCACAGACAGGCCTCTAAAATGTGCTGTAAGTGTTTCAAGTAAAATCATATCTTTCCTGTGCCAGTAAGTCAATCTGTAATATTCGTTTGTGGATTTACAGCTTTGATGAAAATCATGTTGAAAAGTAAGTAGAGAAAATATGCCCCAGTGTCTCTAAAGAGACAGAAATAACTGTATGACAGTGTTTTTTGTTTTGCGTCACCATAGCAGCCAGACTTCTTGCAGAAAATGGCATATAGGTGGAACCAGGAAACAAATGGATGCAATTAAATGAGAAAAAAAAGGAAACTAAAAAATCGAGTTAAGTTTTAAAATATGTTTCTCAGTAACATAATAACGACTGAGAAAAACGACACTCTTTTCTAAACAGTGACTTGTTTAATATTTTTCATCATATTTTTCTTTGAGTTGGACGTCCATTCATTGGCAGAGGCAAACCAGAATCAATCCTGTCACTACAGCTATGACTCATTTCCCCTGATTCCACATCTTCCAGCTTCCAGCAACTTATCCTCATTGAACAGAAAAAAACTCACATGCTCAATCAATAACATGACTACACCATCTGTCGGCCAGATCACATTCATTCCAGCAACACTGTGGAAGCCTGAAGCTCTTAATGCAGACGAACAACACAGATAACCTCCTGTCTTTACTAATCTTCAGCGTGGAAGATTAGGCTTGCAAAATAAGTTTTGCGTAAGGACATTTTACCTGCAGTTAGTAAGAAGCAAGTACAGGCATGACTAATCTTTTTAAGGAAATGACAAAAACCAGTAAGACGAACACTAACCCATGCAGCACATTAGCGCTACCAAGCGCTCCCTACGTTCCCTCTCTGTCTTTAGGCGGTACTTCATTGTCTGCACGCCTTCCTGAGGGCTGTCGAGAGGATCGCGATCCAGGTACACAGATGCCATGCGGATAAGTGACTGAAGAAGAGGCAGCAGCAACGGTCTCCCTCTTCTCGCCTGCTTGCCAACCACCCTCTAGGGCTCTAGCTGTGACTCTCTCTCTCATCAAACTTCCAGAACGAGTCCTGTCAGGTTTTCCATTCTAATTTTGGTTTCCATGTGGTTCACTGTTTATCTAGCAGCAGCGCTCAAAAATCATATAAGAAAGTCAGTGTGCCTCATGGAAAAAAGGAAAACGGAGAAAATGCTCCTTGTTAGCTGACTATTAATGAAGAACTAGTTTCTTTAAGCCATGTATCACATTTTCTCATGACATCATGTCTCACTTAACTATTTCACATATCAGATGCATCTTGTGCAACATAAACATGCTCAACTGTGAGCCCCAATTTTCAAGAGTGCAAAAATAATCATCTTTCTATTGTTCAACTGCCGCCAAGGCTTAAAATGTTTACTCCAGGAAAAACAACTGAGAACACTTTAAGTCAAAGAACGGCCAACACCTTCTATTACGCAACATGAATAATAACAGTTTTTAGTTGAAGTCCTTCATCTGTTTTCTTATCATACTGAACATCACAGTTATATAAGACAAAAAATGAAAGTGCTCTTGTTGTGACAAATGATGCTTCAGAAACGTACATCCAACACACTGTATTGCAATGCATGGCTGGTTGATAAACAACTATAATATTTGTTTGTAATATTGTAATCCTGTGTCTTGAAAGCATTAGTTTCTAACAAGAACTGAGCCACTCTGTATCTACCCAAGTTTATAAAAGACAGCATATTCTCTGTGGAGTCACAGAGTCTGAAAGATGCACAGATAGTATATAAGCTCCCTTTTCAATGATATAGCAGCTTTGCATGTGAAGGGAAAGAGTCCTTCAGGTTTATAATGAAGCTCGAAACATGCATTTACAGAACCGGGCGCCTTCAGAGCTCTGTGACTGTATTCTCTGCAGATTTGTACATTTAGCTCATCTAAAAATAGTGCATGATTAAAAGCAGCTGAGAATTCAAAAGTGGGTTGGACTGATAACTATTGCTTTTTTGATAATCTGCACAAAGCTCAAAGACTGAATTTTTTAAAAAAAAGGGTACAGTGCAACAAAACTAATCAGGAGAAGCAAACTGAAAGGAAAAGCGAGAGAGATGCAGTGAAACCCCTTCCCAGCAGCACTGCTGTGTCATTGCTGATGTGAATGTCCCTGTGACTCCGTCGTGCAGCTGAATCACACAGAAATAAAGCAGCGCACTCTGCAGCAGGACACCAATTTGGTGTGTAATGCCCATGTCTAAGCTCTCTGCTGCATAATGCATAAACCTCTCCTGAAAAGCTCATTAATATAGATTGACTGGGCAAGTTTTCCAGGAAACTCTCCAGCTCAGAGCAGAGGTCAGGAGCCAAAAGAAGTGTCATCAACCAGCTTTCAATCACAGTCAGTAACAGATAACCTTAGAGCACATGATTTCACATACTTCACAGATTACTGATAGTGCACAGTCAATACACTCATATCAATAAATGTCACGGCATGGCAATCAGGTTGACATTATTGCTGCCATTCATGTTTAAATACAGTATAAGTAGATAATGAACTATTTAGCATATTATTATGTGCTACAAAGCAAGTCATTTCTGTAAATAAGCTTCCTAAATATTATTAAAGTGAGTTTAGTGGTATGGTGCCCTCTTGAGGACTTAACAAGAATAAAAGTACTCTATGAGCACAGCCTGAAAAGTATGCCTTATAATTCTAGTGACATATTATTTGTCTATGAAATCAGTGAAGATCAGATATTAAACAGCAAGTACTCAATCTCTGCCCCTCTAAACTAAAGTCAGACCTAATGTGTTTATACAAACGTCTCCTCATGATATAAAACTTTATCAGCCTTACCGCACACTTACTTATTACAGTTAATAAATTCTATGATTGCACTGCTTGGACTTTTGTTTCACCTTATATGCGGTGCCGCATTTAAGGTTCCAGTGACACAGATGTAGAGACTGGTCAATGACACCCCTGACAACCACAGGTCGTTTGAGAAGATTGGTTGCCGAGTGCTTGCACACGGTCAAAGTGACCCCTGCTAGCGATTGCTAGCACACACTGTGACTTTGTGATCCACTGACAGCCAGCAGCTGCTCACCAACCGGTCCAGCAATACACATTTTTCCCAGAAGGTTGCTGGCCATGCTCTTGGCCTGTGTGGCTGAGGCCTTATTGTGCTAAAACAATGCTGTGCAAACATCTACTTGTGTCATCTACTTTCTTCCACTTATCCAGTTCAGGTTTGTGGGAGCCTGTTCCAGCTGTCACAGGGTGGTTGGGAGGGTGCACCCTGGACACATCGCCTGTCTGTCACAAGTCAACATGTAGATACTGATACAGCATTTCAGTAATGACTAAAACATGTGTTATTTATTACTGAAATACTGAATTAGTATATCATTTGAGTATGTAGATGAAATCTCTTTAATATACTGGCTCAACCCCATTCAGTTACATCAGTGACACACAACATCCATGCAGTTCATTTTAGCAGTTATCTGAATGATGCCAAAAACTATGATATTGTCAATAAATAAGTAAGAAAGTGAGGAAAACATCATATGAACGAATTAATAACTCAATACTTGAGGTAGTAAATGCATGATGTTCGGAAACCTTTGCAAAGTAATTAAACTTACAGTGTGTGATTGCTTGTACGTGTCTGTTTAAATGTTCTCACTTTGGTAGATGATTCACCTCCACCAAAAGTCTGGGAACCGGATAACTGGATTGTGACCTCTGACTTTAAACGGTTGATGTTTGAAGGATAACAAGTTGTAGAAAGCCCAACCCGACAAACCACCATCCTAACGTCTACAACCTCAGGCGATGTCTACAGAATGCATTTATCAAAACCTTCTTCCGATGAGCAAATTTACACCGAGGCAGGAAGTCAAACTGGTAGTAATTAAGGTGTTGTTTACTGCACAGTCTTACATCGCAGTATGTGAACATATTCAAGTGAATAGTTTCTTTTAACAATGACAGCAAACAGCAGTGCTGTGAATCATTAGCCACAGCAGCCAGTCTTGTATAAAACTAGATGATGAGCATAACACTGTTGTGAGGCCTGTGTGCACTCGGTCTGCAGTCCAAGCCCAGTGCAAGCCAAGAGTCCACCCACAGCATTCGAACGGTCAGCCTGAGACACTTATTTGTAGACCTCAGCAAAGCACATGTGCATGGCTATAAATAGCTACAACCCTAAACCATGCTGCCCCTGCAACTGCAGGCTACATAATCTGTGCCACTCAGGTGACATCCTTCATTTTCTGCCACGCAAAGATGAGTGAAGCGCAGTCGTCCTTGTAATAGAAGTGAATGTATTTATTTGAACAGAGATTAAAGTTGTATAAGTTTGTATCCTTTGATTTTGGAATCTGATTGATGTAGCGCAAAACAAAACGGATCAAATCCTATGATATGTTCTCCAGCATCGAATTTGCATATTCAAAACTACATATTCAACACGTGACACTGATTTTGTACCCAAATAAACAATTCAGATTCTAATTTGCTTTCAACTGACGTTCAGAAAATGGAAAATCAACCCAGCAGTAGCACAGCCTACCCTTTGACTGGCTGTTCAGTTTGTAATTTCATAATTCTGTTTAAACAGAAGCAGAAACACAAACAGATAAATTTTAGTTTTCCTGAGAACATCTGGCAGAGAAGGACAGGGACACCCTTTGGTATTTTGTTATGTCACAATGCCTAAAATATCCTCACATTCTGAGAGGAGCAAAGAAAGCTCTACCAATCACAGTCCACCCTATGTAATCCCT